TCGTCCACGATCGATCCTATCCTCTTCCCGCTTGTCGCTCTTTCATCCCTACTCGTCCTCTCTCTCTCTCTTTTTTTTTTTGTATTTTCTATGGCAACGACAATTTGTAAGATTGCCGCGGGCAACATTTTCGACGACGCGACTGCAAACGTTGCTCGTCGAGGCAATTTCCCCGACTGACTAACGAGCGAGAAAGAGAGAGAGAGAGAGAGAGCGACGCGGGAAACGCGGGGAGGGGTTGAATATTTGCAGTGGTTGGCTGCGAAATTTCAATTACGCGTGTACCAGAGGCTGATTCGATTATCGAGGCCAGCTTGATTACCGATTCAATTGTTGCAACGAGTGCACCGAGGAATTTGTTCCTGTTTGCGCTAAAGCGCAGCAGACGCATCTATTATGCAGCACGATCCTCGGCCCTGCTCGCACTCTCTGACACCTTTCCCCGTGTTATAGCGTCGCGTCACATCGTTCTATCACGCGGACATCCCGTGTAATTTTCTCTTCCCCGGCTCTGTTTCCCGTCTCTTTTTCGCTTCATTCAGCCCGCCGCTCGGCGTCTCGCCTCCGCGACTCTCTTTCTCTCTCCTCGTCCGCTCCCTAACGCGCCGACTTTTATTCTCTCTCGTTCCCGATCCGCGCTGTATTTCCGAGGGCGTTAAACGACATAATACGGCAATTTTGTTAGGCGCTAGCAGCGAATTCGCGGAGGTGCGAATGGCGGTGGCTCTTATCCTAGAGGGCCATTAAGTGATCTTTCCCCGATTATTACTGCCAGCCGGGGGTATACATTCCTCCATTCGCCGGCGGTGGGGGAGAAAAACTGCCTGGGATATTACGCGCGGTGGAAAATTCGCGTCTCATCGCCGGCGTGAGGACACTTCAACTTGGTAATGTGTGCCATATTATATAAAATTATGTACGATCCAGCTGGTGCACGAGGAGGGAACTTTTTGCAGTGGCTATCTTTGCTGAATACACCTAGCAGCTTGTAAACATTCGTCGAGATATCATCGCGCGAAAAAAATCGCTTACCGCGTCGGTTTTTTCGTTTTAATTGAAATCGCGACGATCAGCTTTTCTGTTTTTGCGGCGATACGCAGGGGCAATTAAATTTTCGTTTGAAGCGTTCGTTATGATATTCGAGAACAGGTCGATTTTGAACGTGTTCTCGAATATCGCTGTAATTGCCGCTGCTTTTGGGTGGAAATGATTTTCTTCCGTATCGGTCGATATATCGGAGAATTGATCCACGGATCGATGGAGCAATCGTTGGACCAACGATCGATATCGCAGCACCAACGGAGGCGGACTGTCTACCTTACCATCGATCGATTAATTCGAACCGCGAGAAATCAGCTGGAAACATTACCGTGGATCACTACATTTGCACCGGACAGGTGTAATATGTAGCTGCGATTTATCATTCCTACCGCGTGATATTGCGGTACAGAGGAGGATGGAACGGCAAGTTAAATGAGAAGCACGGAAAGATAAAGCATATCCTGGTGGAATGACAAGAGAAACCGACGTTACAAATTACGCAAACGACCCGGCCAGATTCCAAGATAATTGTGTTTCACGATTGAAAAATGTACGCCCATGATAATTGCCGCTCCACCCACAGACAATTTCTGTTGTAAATTCTACCCCGTTACTCTGCGCATTGCTCCAATTCGTACAATATAATTACTTTATCGATAATTAACATTGTGTTATTTATTTTAAGATATTTTCTATGCCGCAGTAATTAATCGTTTATCGGTTAACCCATTCCTGAAAAGATCAATTTTAACAAATTACTTGGTTCGATCGCTTTATTGGTAATTAATATTGGCTTATTTACCGCAATTTACACGTTCATCGTATGAGTTTTGCGAAATTACTCGGTTCTAGATTTCACAAATTCGAGAATAAACGTAACTGTGTAATGAAAAATGGCGAATGTCGAAGGAATTAATTCTTCGTCCTCGGTAGACTAATACAAAGCTTCTTTACTTCACTTCAAACTCGTCACCCATGAAAACACGTCCCTTTTTCACCCCAAAGTCCAAGGTAAACCGAATCCCACGGTTTAAAGGAAAACGTAGGCCGGATGTGATCCGCGACGGAAGCTCAAGTTCAAGCTCCTGAATCACGATCCTGCGGACCCGACCAGAATC